CTTTGCAGCATCCTTGAGCACGGGTGAGGTCCTGGAGGACTGGAGAATTGCTAATGTTGTCCCCTTGTTTAAGAAGGGTAGCAAGGATAATCCAGGTAATTCTAGACCGGTGAGCCTGACGTCAGTGGTGGGGAAGCTGCTGGAGAAGATACTGAGGGATAGAATCTATTTACATTTGGAAGAAAATGGGCTTAATAGTGATAGGCAGCATGGTTTTGTGCAGGGAAGGTCATGTCTTACCAACTTGATAGAATTCTTTGAGGAAGTGACGAAGTTGACAGATGAGGGAAGGGCTGTGGATGTCATATACATGGACTTCAGTAAGGTGTTTGATAAGGTTCCCTATGGTAGGCTGATGGAGAAAGTGAAGTCGCATGGGGTCCAGGGTGCACTAGCTAAATGGATAGAGAACTGGCTGGGCAACAGGAGACAGAGAGTTGTAGTGGAAGGGAGTTTCTCAAAATGGAGAACTGTGACCAGTGGCGTTCCACAGGGATCTGTGTTGGGACCACTGCTGTTTGTGATATACATAAATGATCTGGAGGAAGGTATAGATGGTCTGATTAGCAAGTTCGCAGATGACACTAAGATTGGTGGAGTAGCAGATAGTGAAGGGGACTGTCGGAGAATGCAGCAGAATATAGATAGATTGGAGAGTTAGGCGGAGAAATGGCAGATGGAGTTCAATCCAGGCAAATGCAAGGTGATTCATTTTGGAAGATCCAATTCAAGAGCGAACTATATGGTAAATGGAAAAGCCCTGGGGAAAATTGATGCACAGAGAGATCTGGGTGTTCAGGTCCATTGTACCCTGAAGGTGGCAACGCAGGTCGATAGAGTGGTCAAGAAGGCATACGGCATGCTTTCATTCATCGGACGGGGTATTGAGTGCAAGAGTTGGCAGGTCATGTTACAGTTGTATAGGACTTTGGTTCGACCACGTATGGAATACTGCGTACAGTTCTGGTTGCCACATTACCAAAAGGATGTGGATGTTTTGAAAAGGGTGCAGAGGAGGTTCACCAGGATGTTGCCTGGTATGGAGGGCACTAGCTATGAAGAGAGGTTGAGTAGATTAGGGTTATTTACATTAGAAAGACGGAGGTTGAGGGGGGGACCTGATTGAGGTCTACAAAATCATGAGAGGTATAGACAGGGTGGATAGCAAGAAGCTTTTTCCCCAGAGTGAGGGACTCAATTACTAGGCGTCACGATTTCAAGGTGAGAGGGGAAAAGTTTAAGGGAGATATGCGTGGAAAGTTCTTTACGCAGAGGGTGGTGGGTGCCTGGAATGCATTGCTAGCGGAGGTGGTAGAGCCGGGCACGATAGCGTCATTTAAGATGTATCTAGACAGATACATGAATGGGCAGGGAGCAGAGGGATACAGATCCTTGGAAAATAGGCGACAGGTTTAGATAAAGGATCTGGATCGGCGCAGGCTTGGAGGGCCGAAGGGCCTGTTCCTGTGCTGTAATTTTCTTTGTTCTTTGTTCTTTATTACTGCGTCCAGTTCTGGTTGCCCAGTTATAGGAAGGATAGTTTTAAACTGCAAAGGGTTCAGAACAGATTTACAAGGATGTTGCTGGGAATGGAGGGTTTGAGTTAAAAAGGAGAAGCTGAATAGGCTGGGACCTTTCTTCACTGGAGCGTAGGAGGTTGAGGGGTGACCTTATAGAGGTTTATAAACGCATGAGGGGCATGGATAGGGTGAATAGCAAAGGCTGTGTCCCTTCGGTGGGGGATTTCAAGATTAGGGGGCATATTTTTAAGGTGAGAGGAGAAAGATTTAAAAAAGACATGAGGGGTAACTTTTTCCACACAGAGAGTGGTTCGTTTGTGGAATGAGCTTCCAGAGGAAGCACTGGATGCGGGTACAGTTACAATGTTTAAGAGACATTTGGATAAGTACATGAATAGGAAAGGTTTGGAGGGATATGGGCCAGGAGCAGGCAGGTGGGGCTAGTTTAGTTTGGGATTTATGGTCGGCACGGACTGGTTGGGCCGAAGGGTCTGTTGCCATGCTGCAGGACTCTACGCTCTAAGTACTTTTGGACGTGTGGTCACTTGGAGAGATATAGGTATGCAGCGTGATTTGCCCCAAACAGCAATGAGATAATGACAGCTTTTATGATGCCAATTCAAATCAATACTGGCCAGGAAACTGGTGTCAAGTGTCCTGGTAAGTCGTGCCACAGGGTTTCTCACCGCACCCGCCCCCCGCCCCACGGTTGGCATGGCCTCAGTTTAATGTCTGAACTGAGGGTGTGTCACCATCTCCGAGCAGTACAGTGTCCCATCAGTGCTGCAACACCAACAGCATCAGCTTTGTCCATTACAAAGCCTCTGGAGCGCAGTCTGTACGTGAACTCATGGTGCAGGGGCGGGCTACCCGCTAGCTCTCTGAGCAGCCTGCACTGATTAAACAGTTGGCTCGAGAGAACCAGGGGCTGGGAAAGGAGACAGAAGCGAAAGCAAATGAGTAACCCCCTTCCTACCAATCCGGGCTCTCCGCGCTCAGAGGCGCTAGATAAACGCAAGCTGGCGTTGCTGCGGTTTTCTCACCTGGGTGATGGTCAGGGTTGTCCTGTTCACCTGCTGGGCCTGCATGGCAGCCTGGGCACGGGCTTTCACCACATGGGTACACAAAATGGGGCCCAGGTACCCATAGTCGGTCTTATAGGACTCCTGGTTGTCAGGAGGAGATCGGATCTTCGCCACAACCGGTGCGCAATGTTTCTGGAAGAGCAAAAGCAAACAGTTGCAACTTTATAAGCCTAAAAAAAAGGTTGAAACCTTTACAACTGACCAAAGCACGTTCAATAGCAAATTTCCGCAAGGAAATGGGATATTGGTGGAAAGGAATTGTTTGCAAAGCTGCAGGAAGAGGAACAAAGGAAGACAAGATCTAACTGCACTGTTCTTGTAAATAGCTAGTCCAGACAACAGCTTGAAAGGCCTCGTAAGGTTCCACCTTCTGAACCGCAATCTCAGCACCCTCTTTCATGTGCAGCACAAATTGCTGTTCCCTTCTGGGATTTGGCATTCTTGTGATTCTGTCCTGACGAGCACAAGACAAAATGCTTCGACGGTGTGCGTGTTTTTTTTCCCAAACAGCGACGGTCTTAAACTCTTTGTGAAATCGAAGGTGGCAGACTTTAGGAATCATTGCTTAGGCATCAGAGGGAGTGCTGGGTTCAATTCCAGGCACTGTGGCGATGCTGTGGTTCTGAGAAGTGTATTTTGCTTTGAAGAGTGGTTTTAAGACAGAGGTACCAAGCTGTCTACTTGGAAAGCCAGTAAAAAAGCTTGGGAGGCCTTGGTGGTTTTTTTTAAAAACGTTGGAACAACTGAAGCAGCCTGGCTGGGTGTGAGCAGCTCTCACAGACCAGGCTTTCTAGTATTGTTGTTAAAATTTAGGCTTAACTTGAAGCAGTTGCTGTTGTGCGGACTTGAAAACATGGAAGCTATTTTTCCCCCTCGCTCGGTTACAGCCAAAAGCTGGGGGCTCTCTTATGGAGTTGCTAGGTTGTATGTGCGACAAAATCTGTGTTTCTGAAGTTACCTTTTTGCCGAAGGTTTTGTTTATAAGATGTGACTGTAATGGAACAGTTAATTAGTAATAGATACTGTAGCTATTATTCTGCTAAGCTTTCCAATAGAGTTGTTATTTTAAGTTCTTCTTTCTTTTTAACCTTAACATTTAAATAAATTGTTTTGCTTAATGTCGAGTAGAGCACGTTACATTTGTGTTTAAAACAAGAAAACTTTAAGGTCTAGGCTACCTTCTTAAAGAAATATTTTGAGGGGGTCTGGTCTGGTCCAGAACAACATCAGGACCTGGGAAGAGGAGACTGGCTGGATTGGTACCGTGAATGAGGGACTCTGCACAGTTATGCTGAGAGACTAGCGAAGCTGGGATTGTTTCACTCTTGACCAGAGAAGGTGAAGCAGATTTAATGGAGGTGCTGCAAAATCACGAGGGGCTTTGACAAGAGGCGACGAGGACAAACAGCTCCCGGCAGCAGGAGGGTCATTAGCCAGAGGGGGTAGTTGAAGAGAAGTGACTTCTGGTAACGCATGACCGTGGAACAGAAATGGAAGCAGATGAGAGAGGAATGTGCAAAAATAGATAAAAATACCTCAAAGGGAAATAAACTCAGGGGGAAACATGACAGCCTACACTGAAATGATGGGTCAACTGGCCACCTGCAGTTTGAAGAATTTTTTTCTTTATTCATTCATGGGACAAGGGTGCCCCTGGCCAGGCAGCATTCATTGCCCATCCCTAATTACCCAGAGGGCAGTTAAGAGTCAACCACGTTGGCTGTGGGTCTGGAGTCACATGTAGGCCAGACCAGGTAAGGATGGCAGTTTCCTTGCCTAAAGGACATCAGTGAACCAGACAGGTTTTTCCTGACAATTGAAAATGGATTCACTGTCATTAAATTGTTAATTCCAGATATTTATTGAATTCAAATTCCACCATCTGCTGTGGCGGGATTCAAACCCAGGTCCCCAGAACGTTATCTGGGTCTCTGGATTAACAGTCCGGCGATAATACCAATAGGCCATCGCCTTCCCTGCTGAAAGTCGTGCATTCAAAGTTTTGCAGACGGTCCTGCAGTGCCCCAGACACAAAGCACACCCCAGCTCCCTGATTCATAGGCAGCTACTATAGACAGCCTTCCCTGGGTCACCTACCAGTAACAGGCTCTGTACGTGATCCGCTCCAATCTTATCGATGTTACTGACGACCGGTCCTTCCAGTACAGCTCGGATACGCTCCCCTTCGATCTGCAGCCTCTGGATGATCAGAGTCTTTATCACCTGTTTTTTTTCCCCCAAAGGCATTTGGTTAATACAAACGCTTGTACTTAGACAGAAGATTTGCGCAGGGTGCGACATCTGCGAAGCTGCAATTCAGCTAGGCTCCCCTGGCAGCACCTTACAAATGCGGGGCCTCTACCCTCTCAAAGGCCAAGGGCGACAGAAACATGGGAACTTGATACAGGCTCTGCCTCGGAGTTGCTGACCACGCCCCACTTGAAACCACATCACCCGTTCCTTCGCTGGGCGGCACGGTGGCTCAGTGGTTAGTGCTGCTGCCTCAGAGCACACAGGGCCCAGGTTCGATTCTAGACTAGCAGTGTCGGAGCACTGCAATGCCATGTTTGTTTGTGCACACGCTTGCTGCAATACCAGGCAGTGACAAGCCAAGGGCAAGCCTCAGCCTACCACCACCTTCTCAAGAGCAATTCATCGAATCCCTATAGAGCGGAAACAGGTCAATCGGCCGATCAAACCCACATTACCCTTCTGAAGGGCATTCCACCCACACCCCTACATTTCCGCTGTAACCCTGCAGTTCCCATGCTTAATCTACCCCCTGGATACTACGGGACAATTTAGCACGGCCAACCCACCCTGACCCGCACATCCCTGGGCACTATGGGACAATTTAGCATGGCCAACCCACCCTAACCCGCACATCCCTGGGCACTATGGGACAATTTAGCACGGCCCATCCACCCTAACCTGCACATCCCTGGGCACTATGGGACAATTTAGCACGGCTCATCCACCCTAACCTGCACATCCCTGGGCACTACAGGATAATTTAGCACAGCCAATCCACCCTAACCTGCACATCTTTGGACTGTGGGAGGAAACCAGAGCACCCGAAGGAAACCCACACAGACACGGGGAGAATGTGCAAACTCCACACAGACAGCTGCCCGAGGGTGGAATCGAACCCAGGTCCTTGGCGCTGTGAGGCAACAGTGCAGCCCTGAGGGATGGGAAACAAATGCAGGCGAGCCTTCTAAAACAAGGAACTTGAAACAGAAACTGAAAAAGCTGGAGCTACTCAGGAGGTCTGGCGACATCTGTGGGAAGAAGAACTCGCAAGATCTGCAGATGCTGGAGTCAGAGATAACACACAGTGTGGAGCTGAAGGAACACAGCAGGCCAAGCAGCATCAGAGGAGCAGGAAAGTTGATGTTTCAGGTCGGGACCCTTCAGAAATGGGAGGGGGAAAGGGTCCCAAACCGAAACCTCAACTCTCCTGCTCCTCTGATGCTGCCTGGCCTGCTGTGTTCATCCAGCTCCACACTGTGTTATCTGTGGGAGGGAAGCAGTTATCTCTGGAGTCTCATCAGAAGGAATCTGACATTTGAGACTATCAGAGGAGATAGAAGGAAGCTTGAAAAGCAAAACAGCTTCCAATTTACAAACGGGTTATAGTGACCACTTAACACGTTCAGCGTTATCTAACCCAGTTCTTGTTAGAAAGTGACTCACGCAGTGAGCAGCTTTCAAAGCAGTGTCCTTTTCAGAGCGCTGACTGAAACAGACTAACGTGGGGAAGCAAGCATTGCCCAGAGAGAGAGAGAGAGACGGGGTTTCGCTGGCGAGTTAATTAAAGGCCCAGGCTAAAGGGACAGTGCCACGCCAGGGGGAAGTGGTGTTAAAATACTCGTCGGGAGACGACTCACATCGTGGCCCAGCTCCGCCAATCCTGCGATGCAGCCATACCTCGTCGTCCAGGGGGTCTTGTCATCCAGCCAACTCTGAAACGGTAACCAAAAAGCAAGGCCATGTCATACCGGGGAGGTTCAGTGCGTCAAACAGGCCGGGCAACAACGATCTAGCACCGGCTCAGTAGAACAGAACACCGGGATCTCTAGTTTAATGTCTCAAGCTGTGCCCTGGGCCTGGGGCAACAGCACAACGAGCTGCGTTACTGGGGGGTGAATCTGTGCATGGATACCGCGGACCACTTCTACCTCAACCACCTCCCCTCGCCCAGTGACCGTTTTATCCAGAAACACGGTTATTCTCCTGGTCGGTATCTCACAGTGCAACCACCCCACTCTGAGACTGGAGATTCCGCAAAAGATCTGCTGTCCCGATCTCTAGCTCAGCCTGTCTCGCTGTGCTCGCTGATCCACGCTGACCCAGCGAGAACCTCTCGATCTTTCAATTCTCATCTTGGTTTTCAGATCCCTACCTCGCAACCCCAAACTCTCCCCAACACAGCCCCTTTTCACCTCTGCATTCTTTTATCCACCAGACGCTTCATCCGCTCCACCACCTGCTGCTGGTTCTCTTCCAGTTGCCTGAACCCTCAACTCCAATCACATCCTTGGGCATCTCCATTGCGCCTTTAAAGATGGCTGACCTCACCCTCGGGCCCAATGTGCTCACTGGGCGCAGTAGCGTTGGTGTTGTTTGAGACCACAGTGGGGGGGGTACAGGGACCCTCACACCGATGCCCATAGGGCTGGGCCTTACCTTGGTGAAGGTCTTGGTGATGCGGGACTGGACATTGTTCGTGGTGGTGCTGAAGTTCTTGCAGATCTGCGCCATGAGGCGGGCAGCGAAGTCACGGAGAGCCCAGTGGTTGTCCACGTCAGGGCGCAGGCACAGCTGGCGGCTCACGATGCAGGTCACCACCGCGGGGATCAGCTCGTGTAACTGCGGAGCGGTACGACACGACAGTCAGTGCGGCACAGTGCCAGCGCGAGGGGTCATGGGTCACATCCACCCTGTCCCTCAGTCCCACCTCCGACACGCCCTGCCCTTCCACCCTCAGCACCACGCACCCCCCCCCCACCCGCCCCCTCGACACACCCAGCCCCCACCCCCAACACACCCGGCTCCCCTCTCCCTCAGCTCCCACCTCCGACATGCCCTGCCCTCCCACTCTCAGCGCCACGCACCCCTCCCCCCGACATGCCCTGCCCCACACTTCCTCAGCCCCCACCCCCAACACACCCGACTCCCCTCTCCCTCAGCCCCCACCTCCGATAGGCCATGTACCCCCTCTCTCATACCCCCGCCGACACGCCCACCCCGCCCCTCCCTCAGCCTCCCCTGACACGCTCGGCTCCCCTCTCTCCCTCAGCTCCCACCCCCGACACGCCCTGCAC